TTAGCTTCCTAAATATATCTTGTGTGTGGGAAGCTGGGATAGGAAAATTAAATTCTTACACTTTTGAAGTGGATAGGCCAGTAGTATTTGAAGAAGCCAAGTAGAAAACGGAAACGCTTAAGCTGGCTTTGCCCTTGCAGAGAGAGGCTTGGCTGGGTCCTTTCCCACGGGGACCTCTCCAGAGGACGGAGTCCATTTTGGGAAGAGCTTGCTATAAACCGATGGCCCGGGCAGAGAGCGGAGATGGGATGGTGTGGCTCAAGCCAGCATTCTTGGAACAGGAGCCTGTGGTTTCTCTGTTACTTCATCTTGTTAAATTGGTCCTGATGATTGGGATGGATACCAGAGATAGTAGCGACTCACTAGCACTGCCCTGTAATTTAAAGCCCTTGCAAGCTGCATCCTCAGGCAGCAGCAGGAGGTGGCGGAGATGGAGGAGAGAGGGTGAGGAGGAAGTGCCCCTCCTGGGCTCTGACCTCATCCAAACCCCAATCTGTGTCTTGGAAAAATGTGTTTCCAAGTTGGCTTGAGGCACTGTTAAGAGAATGTCTTAATTTAACCTTTCTTAGAACTGCCTGTGTTGTGAGTAGACTAGACACCGTGGTGCTAAGTGATTCTGAAAAATTGTTTCTGTGATCCCACAGAATTTATGTTTCAGTACATGAAGAATACCTTTACGTTTTCATTTTCAAATCAAATATCTTTGGAATGCAATATTTCACTCTTTAAGCAAGAGTGTGGAATAAACATATCCAAAGTGTGGGAGGATGTAGCGAAATTACAGAGAAGATAACAAGGAAGTCTTCTCCTCCCGATGCGAAAACAAATTTACTGTCAACATTAGGAGTTTATTTATTGCTCATCCATTCCCAGCATGAGATTATAACTATGAAGATTTCTTGGACAAGAATAGTCAAAATTAAGCAATGAGAATTAAAATAAAAATAAATGTGTTAATTTTTATTCCAAGAAGTTAACAGATGTTTTTCATCTGGTTACCACAGGCATCTTTTAAGTTATTTTTTAGTTTTTAATGTGAACATGGATTAAACAGTATCTTAAACCCATGTATGGCCAATTAATTCAGAGTAATAGCGTTTTAAATATCAAATGATATAAGCCTACTGACAGCTCCATTTTTAAATTGAAGATCTGATTCTTGTGCTTGAATATTAGGAATCTATTTCCTCAGGCAAAAACATTTATTCAATGAATACTTAGGTCATATATTGTCTCTTATTTTGGAGAGTTATGAGATGGTAAGAGGGAGTCCCCCTTGGTGAGGAAGACACAACACACATACACGAGAACATGCAAACACACATTATACCATAGAGCAATGAGAATGTTTTATGTCATACGGAACAACATATCTCACAGAACAACACATCTCATTACTCTATAGTTCTACTTGTTATATGAGGTATAAAACCTAAATATCTTAATACTCTTTTTTTTGTGTGTGTGAGGGAGATCAGCCCTCAGCTAACATCTGTGCTAATCCTCCTCTTTTTGCTGGGGAAGACCGGCTCTGAGCTAAAATATCTTAATACTCTTATTCACCAGAATTTCTGTTGGGATGAGAACGATATGTGTTTAAAAATTATTTGATGAGTTTCCTGGGCTGGGGTAAACATCCAATGATCTCAAATGCCTTCTAAGGACAGTAGGTCCTGGTGATCAGAGGGCACTGATTTGTCCATCAACATTTGGGGTTAGTGGTGAATGGTTCCTGATTATAAAGGGATGAGAAGTTTTAAGTTCCCTGCAGAGAAAGGCTGGGTGCAAATGAAGTGAGCCTCAGTTAGGGAATCCTGGTAGCAGTGCTTAGAAGAGAGGCTGGGAGCAGCAGAAAGATTTAATGATAGTTTTTTTTGCATTAACTTTCTTTTTTATTGTGGTTAAAAATACATAACGAGGGCCGGCCCCGTGGCTTAGCGGTTAAGAGCGCTTGCTCCGCTACTGGCAGCCGGGGTTCGGATCCCCGGCGCGCACTGATGCACCGCTTCTCTGGCCATGCTGAGGCCACGTCCCACATACAGCAACTAGAAGGATGTGCAACTATGACATACAACTATCTACTGGGGCTTTGGGGGAAAAAAAAGGAGGAGGATTGGCAATAGATGTTAGCTCAGAGCCGGTCTTCCTCAGCAAAAAAAAAGAGGAGGATTAGCACAGATGTTAGCTCAGGGCTGATCTCCCTCACAAAAAAAAAAAAACACATAACGTAAATTTTACCATCTTAATCATTTTTAAGTGTACATCTCAGTAATGTTAAATACATTTACATTGTTGTGCAACCAATCTCCAGAACTTGTTCATCTTACAAAACTGAAACTCTATACCCATTAAACAATAACTCCTCACTTCTCCCTCCCCCAGCCCCTGGCAACTAATGAGATAATTTTACAATGTTGTGGTGGGTTATGTAAGATAACTTCCTTCCCTGCTTAAAAAAAAATCTATATTGCTTTTTAATGTTTTCATGTAAATTGGGAGAACTTGAAGTGGTGCTGGGTTGTATGTCCGGTTGGGGTGAAGACAGCTTGCAGGAGCTGGAGGCTGATGTGACACCAGGCATCCTTTTACTCCCTGAAACACTAAGCCTTTTTGGCTTATTCTTTTTTAATTGACACTACTTCTTAATTATGAGAAATCTTGAAAATATTATGATGTATAAGTTGTACAATCATCTGGCTAAGAGCATAGACACTGAATATATCTTGAAATACTCCCTATCCTCACGTACCCTTAGCAGCATGATCATGCTCCTTATGTGTAATGTCTTCAACTTTCCCATAATTAAGAAGCGCCAATAAAAAAAGAACAAATGAAAAAACTTCCCACTTAATGAAAAGCATTAGGTGGCAACCTAAAGGGGAAAAGAGACCACTCTCTTCTTAAGAAAATTATATATGTAATTTTCAGTTTTTTTTTTTTTTTAAAGTGGCTTCTTTATATAATTTTATTTATTTATTTTTTCCCCCCCAAAGCCCCAGTAGATAGTTGTGTGTCATAGCTGCACATCCTTCTAGTTGCTGTATGTGGGACGTGGCCTCAGCATGGCCGGAGAAGCGGCGCGTCGGTGCGCGCCCGGGATCCGAACCCGGGTCGCCAGCAGCGGAGCGCGCGCACTTAACCGCTAAGCCACGGGGGCCGGCCCTCAGTTTTTCTTTTTAATTATAGCAGCAAAGGACATCTCTCCCTTTACATGGCTGCTCTCTTCTATATCCTGTCATGCATGCAAATCCTTTACAGAGCCCTAGAATCTTTTGGCAGTCGCATAGGTAATGACGCTAATGCGTGGTTCAGGTACCTACATCTGGCAAGTTATGGACTGCACTGAGTATAGTTTATGAGAGTTCACAGGGACAGGAAATAGGATGCGTGGAGTCCTAGGGCCTTCCAGGATGCAAATCCTTTAACAGGGCACAGATGATTTAATAGCAGCTCGGCTAGGGTGCCCAGAGTAAATTGCTTTCATTCCCCTTACTGTTATACCTGGTAATTTGCCAGTGTAACAGGTGAAAATTGATGAGGGGGTAGTGATTTCTAGGACATAGACTTGGAGGAGTCAGCCGTTCTGAATTCCTTTGGCAACAGCTTTTTCTCATAGGGTGAGTTATACTGTAATACTCTTAGGCAATACTTCTCCATTTATTTCTTTATAGAAAGGGATAATGACTCCAACAGGCTGAATTTATGCTGTGAATGTGTTCATGGGGCTGTAGGGAAAGATGCTACATATACAATTATTATTATATTTTACAGGAATTAGGACACAATGGCTATTCCACATGAAGGTAAATTCCATCCAAATCTATTTAGAATTTTATTTGCTCAGAAGATCTCTATTCAGAGGCCTCATGATAAACAGGAAGGGTCATCTCATCTATCAGTCAGACAATAAACTTTATAGAATTTCTATTGCATCCTGGGTGGGATTGCTAAATATGACACCCAAAGAAATCTGTGTCCTTGAAGAATATAATGAGAGGAGCAAATACAAAAAAATTCATTAGTTCTCAATTTACTAATATAAAATTAGTGAGAATATGACCTAGTCAGACACATAGCTTACATATATAGACTACTATGAAGAAAGGATTAGACTGAAGAGCCTATTTAACAATGAAGTTGTATTTCTCAATATTATATAACATTTTTCTGTAAGTAATTGAAAAGGGTAATTAAAAAAACTCTTTAAAAGACTATTAACTAGTGTTTCTAAAAGTAATTCTTCTAATAACGTTGCTAACTAGAAAATAGAATTATAAACTCAGGGATAGCTAGTTTTTTCAACATAATTTCTAGAAGTAGGATTTTCAACATGTTTTGGTTAGCAAGGCTTGCCATGCTGGCAATTGTTGCTTTCCTGGATAGGAGAAAAACAAAGACACAAATTCATGCTCTTTGACCTCACATGTTATAAGCATCTTTTTACTTGGGGTTTGGTCTTTCACATCGTTTGTTCATCCTTGCAAGCGTTTTTTCCTGCCCAGCATCATTTCTTCAGTTTGGATGCATTTCCCAGACGACGGCCTTTCCTATAGGGTAACTCCCCTCTACGAGATGAGCTTATGCCTCTGGGCTCCAGGAACAGAAAGCCAGGGGTAATTGAAACAGACAACTGACATATTTCCCCATCACTACCCTTCTCTAAAGCAGAGTTTAGGATTTCTGGGGGGAAGCGTGGAATCATCAGGCAGACTTATTTTTACTCCAACGCATGGCGGGTAACCGACATGTAATGGGTCTCACAGCTCTGGCTGGGCTCTGAGAATGCCCGTGAATGACATTGGAAGATGAACGTGGGGAATATCACTCCACCTCTCTATTTTTAGTCAAGTAGAATCAGCCGAATTCTGCCCAGTGTTGGCTGACGATGCTATTCTCACGCACAAAATCTCCCTCTAAAGAACCTCAGCAGAGCAAAATGGTTGATAATTTATTCGGATGCAAGAAAATGTACTGATTTCTTCTTCTTCTTGTTTGTGAAGCCTCTGCCACCTTGTCATGACTCCCCAGAATCAATGGAGGTGTTTAAACAGCACTGCCAAATAGCGGAAGAATACCATGAGGTCAAGAAAGAAATCGCTCTGCTTGAGGAAAGGAAGTGAGTACCGTCCCCCTGGGCGCCCTCACCTCTGAACATGGTCAGCTGGTCGTGGAGTAGGGGCGGTAGGGAAGGGACAGGCTGAGCATGGGAGCGAGGGGGAGGGAGGGGGCGAGGAGGAATGATGTTCCAGGGTTCAGAGGTTACTAGGCAACTTACATGTATGTCATATTTGATTATAGAAATGATCCCAATGGAACTGCTCTGGCTTAAATACTTTACGGAGTAGTGAGAGGAACAGCAAGAGAGCTTTCTATCCAAACCTAATTTTTTAATAAGCGTTTTTAGTTCAGGAAATTAAAAATGTCAAAATACCACCCAGAGCCATATGATGTTCCCTGTGAATGTACCCAGAGGCCCCAGTACTTTGGCCTGGGGTGAATTTTAATTAATGCTTACGTGGCGGAGTTCCCACATCAAGTAAGTAGCCATTGGTCTAGCTCTTGGACTAATGTAACATATTTGTTGACTAACTTGTATTTTATAGTCCAGTAGTCTAATTTTTATCTTGATAGCTTCTATTAACATTACAGTTCTGCTGTAGGGAGTTGTACAGCTTTATTAATTAAAGCACTCTGATTTTACTCACTCATAACTTTCTGTTTCAGAATTCTGCTCCTTTTTAATTGAACTCGATTCTGCTGATGTTCACCCCAGTGGTCCCCATTCTTTCATACTTTCAGAGCATCAGACACCTTTCTGTCACAGCAGTGGTCAGTTTGTGCCTGCACATTTCTTAGGGAGATCTTTTGATCAAACATAAAATCCTACCTGGACTTTTGGTTACAGGGAATTAAAAGATGCTCATGAGATCAGAAACACAATTTTTCCCTCACAAGTCTGAGACTTTCTTTTTGGTCTGAGAGTTTTCATAAATTGATTGGAATGCTCAGATGGCACGTTTACACACAATCTGAGCCATAAAAAAGTGTCATAAAGGAACTGAAGAAACTTATTCGTAACGTGACCAGTGATGAAGTTAAAGGAGGACTTGAATAATCAGTAGGCTATAAACGTGTCTTCCTCTGTGTGTGTGTGTGTGTGTGTGTGTGTGTGATCTGTGGTTTTGAGACAGAAAAAACCTGGTAATTATGTATTTATTTATAAGCTCCTCAGATTGCAGGTAATGGAGGACTTTGATATTTAAATTAACTTATGTGTGGCTTTTTTTTTTTTTGCAATGCAAGACTCTTCCACTAAATTATATGTTCTGTGAGTTTATATTTTTGTATGTTGCATTTAAAAAAATATGATAGGATAATGATATGAGGGTGACTCATCTGGTCTTTTATTGAAACATATCCCTGCTGTTTCTGCAAAACTAATCTTATTTCCTCCCCAAACCTATTTGAACTTTGGACTTGTGTTGAAATCGTAATATTATCTTTTTTTTTCTTTTCTCCTTAAATAAGTGGCTAGATGTGAGGCAAAAGCCAAATTCTTTTACTATTTTTTTCCTTTCTTTTTCATAAAGTCAAGTTTCTTTTTCTCTATTCCTGCTTCTACCCTTGGGATCGAGACTTACTACTTGAAATCTTGGTCAATGTAATGTTGTAACTGGTTTCCTTGCCTCTGGTTTCACATTGCTAGAAAAAGACACCTTGTTCTTGGCCTGGATTTCAAGACATACCAATATGGCCTTAGTACCTCTGTAGAATGTTCTGGCTCAACCTCAGGGTGGCCTATTCACTTTTCTCAGGGCAGGAGCCAACCCTCCTGCCTCTTTGTCCTTGCTCACACCAAGCTCAAGGTCTAGAGTGCTCCCTCTTTGCTCTTTGTCTGCCCAAATGCTACCTTTCTAGAGGAAGGCTTAGCCCATATCCCTGCCTCAACCATCCTGCAATGATCAGCTCTTCTCCTGAGCAAAGGAAAATTCACTGGAGTGATTCCTTTGGTGCTTTTTGTAGGCTAGTGCCATCAAGAATTATCCTTTTAAGTTTCTGTCCTGTCTTTCTGACTGTGTATCATTCCCCACAGACATGGGCACCCTTGAACATCTCTTTGTACTCAGTCACCAAGCAGGGAGCTGTGCATATGGTGAAATATGCGTGAGGATGACTTAGAATGGTTAATTATAGGAGATAGTAATATTCTCTGTGCATACATGTTTTATTTGTAACTTCTATGGTCTATATTTAAAGTACAGAGTCATATCAGCAATAAAGGATGGCTAAGATAAATTGTTGAAATAGGAAGTATGGTTATGTCTTATATTTATAAATGGATGCGATTGGTCTTCCAAAGGTTATCAATGATCACTGTTTTCATTAACGCTTTACTGAAGTGGAAATTCATTTTGCAACAGATATTTTCCTGAACAGTCTTTGTTTTCAAGCAAGATAAATTGGGCCAAATGGATTTGACCCAAGTAATTTGCTTTCTGTTTTTTGGTGATTTGGATGAGAATTTCTTCCACATCATTTTGTAGAATGTGACTGATCATGTTGCCTCTGGTGATTGGCTAGTGTAAGTTAGACACAAAAAGAGACACTAACTCAGGTGTTTTAAAGAGTTTTTCTTTATTGGAGTCATGCAGGCACAGATTAAGCTGAACTTCTCTCTCATCTCCAGAGGGGGTCTCCCTGGATCAAGTTTGAGAGACTGCAGAGGAGCGAGGAGAAGAGTTGATAGAACTATTATTTTAAGTCATTTGTATTGGATGGATGCAGTCAAACATTTTCTAAGATTATAAACTCAGCATGGGGTGAATTTAGTCTAAAGAATCACTTCTGGCTTATTGACCAATTATGTAAGAAAAGCTTGTTCCTGCCTTTATTGAAAAATTTTTTTCTTTTCACTTGAAAAAGAAAATGACAACTTGATTCAAACCTTTAAAAAATTACCAAGAATTCTGACATCATAACAGAACTCTTGCTATCATTTTTGCTTATTTCTTTCTAGGCCTTTTACATGTGAATACATATTTTTATATAATTGCGTAGATAGTAACATGAAATGTATACATGCTTTTTCCAATAAATATTATAACATAAGCATTTTTGTGTGTGTGTGTGAGGAAGATTGGCCCCGGGCTAACATCTGTGCCCATGTTCCTCTACTTTATATGGGACGCCACCACAGCATGGCTTGATAAGCAGTGCGTAGTTCTGTGCCCGCGATCCAAACCCATGAATCCCGGGCCGCCGAAGTGGAGTCTGTGAACTTAACCACTACACCACCGGGCATAAGCATTTTTATACACCACATGCAGTTTTTTGTATATGAAATAGAAACTTATGCAAGTGGGATATAGACATTTTCTGACTTTTGAAATTTATTAGCAAATTGTTTGACAGAAAGTTTTTAAAGTATATGATTAAACTACAAATAGATCAGCTCTGGAGGTTGCTTTGCTCCAGATAGAGTGTTTTATCTTGTCCAAAGGAGAAAGCACTTGTCTGTTCTATGTATGAAACACTGTGCTAGGTGCTGTGGTGTTCAGAAGATTGACTTAGAATGTGAGAAAAAGAGATAAACTCTTAGAAAAGTCAGGTTGAAAAATGTTATATAATCAAAAAAAAAAATTCAGTGGTTGTTCAGGACACTCACAGAGTTGTACAACCATCATCGCAATTTTAGAGCATTTTTATCCTCCTGGAGAGAAACCTTGTACCCTTGAGCAGTTCCTCCCCATTCTTCCCTCCCCCTACCTCGCCACTGGCACCCACTAATCTGCTTTCTATGGATTTGCCTATTCTGGACATTCTTAGAAATAGAATTATACAATATGTGGTCTTTTGTGACTGGATTCTTTTACTTAACATAATTTTTTCAAGGTTTGTCCACGTGGTAGCATGAGTCAGTGCTTCATTCCTTTTTATTGTCGAATAATATTCCATTGTATGGATATACCACATTTTCTTCATCCATTTACCAATTGATGGACATTTGGGTTGTTTGTACTCTTGGCTATTATGAATAATGCTGCTATAAACATTCGTGTACAAGTCTTTGTGTAGACATATGTTTTCAATTCACTTGAATATGTACCTTGCAGTAGAATTGCTGGGTCATATGATAACTCAATGCGTAACCTTTTGAGGAGCTGCCAGACTGTTTCTGAAGTGGCTGCACTGTTTTATCTTTCTGCCAGAAATGTATGAGGGTTCCAATTTCTCCTTATCTTTGCCAACGCTTATTATGTCTTTTTGATGATAGCCATCCTAGTGGGTATAAAATGATGTCTCATTGTGGTTTTGATTTACGCTTTCCTGATGACTAAAAATGTTGAGCAACTTTTCATGTGCTTTTTTACATTTCCATGTCTTCTTGGAGAAATGTCCATTCAGATCTTTTACCTGTTTTTAATTGGGTTGTCTATTTATTATTGAGTTGAAAAAATCTTATATAATTTTAGTGGGTTCAGGCAACACGTTAGAAGGAGTTTTCATATGGGAATACCAAAATCCTTGTTAGACCTATATTTTCATGTCTTTCAAAAACATATAAAATGATAATTGAAGGGAACATATCAGGATGGGGGAAAAGGGAGCATATGTAATTTGTAAAAGCATAGTCTAAAAATAGCCCTGTTTTGATTTGTTTTTAGTCATGGCATTTAATTTATTCTGAAATTTCCAATAATAAGAGCTTTTTATGTTTCACCAGAAACATTTATTTCTTTAGGAAATTCCTGAAGGCAGAGATTTTTAAACTGTATTCTTGGAAACCTCTTAAAGATTGGAGACTGAGAGGGTGTCAGGCAGGGGACTGTACAAGGACCAACCAGAGAGGGTCCAATTTTATCTGTTTTATTTGCTTCACTTCAGGGTACAATTTTCTTTGGAAAAGGATCCCACAGCTAGAAAACATTGAAAAACAAACATCACTTTTATATTCCAAGGATATTTTTCTTAAATATTTACTCAGTCCCCAGAAATTAGGTTTCCACTGTCATTAAAAAACAGTAAATGGAGATATTTCTCCACAAGTGTTTGCAGGGTATGTAGTAATGGGGGGGAAAAGTTCCATCCTTTTTCCTAAGATATAGGGAAGATGCCCTCTGGGTAAGGTATAGGATTTGAGTTCATTTTCCAACAGTGGAGCTATGCTTCCAGAGACTAACCTGGCTAACAAGAATTGAGGACAGTGCTTGGTTTGCGGTAGGATTTCAATAAATACTTGTTGAGTGAATGAATGGAAGGACCAAAGAACTGTCTTGGTTCTTCACTTCGCTCAAGGAGGCAGAGGTATAGCCAAAGAGAATTAGTTTTTAGGAATTAGTTTTGTGTGAAATTCCAATATGCCAAACCTCATCAGGCTGTGAGATTATACTTTCCATTCATGCCCCCATCATAATGATTTGGGCCTTTTATACCACCTCACTACATGCAGTCCAGCCCTTTAATTGGAATCTCATTTCCCAGTCTCATTAAATGGAATATCTCCACTTAAATCTCTGTCTGAAGAACCATATTAAAATGGACAGAATCTTTATCTCAACTCAATGAGAATGCGTTTAAGTAGGTCTTTCTTGCTAAGGAAAGAGGCTCCAGTCTCTTGAGGGAGCAGAGCAAGGAAACATTTTGCCTTTCACCTTATTCCTATCTCTGAATTAACTCTTTTTAGTTGATAGTGGGAAACTCCATTTCCTTTAGAGTAGTGGTTCTTAACCAAACCAAATCACCCCTTGCCCCAAAGGACAATGGCAATGTCTAGAGACATTTTTCGTTGTAATGAATCCAAGGGGTGGGAGGTGGGGTTGAAGGAGGTACTACTGTTATCTAGTAAGTAGAGGCCAAGGGTGCTGCTAAACCTTCTATAATGCCAACGTATAGTACAGCCGCCAACAACCAAGAGTTGTCTGGGCCGAAAGGTCAGAGTGTCAAGACTGAGAAGCTCTACTTTAGAGCAAATCTCACTTCTTCCTGCAAGGGTATAGTGTTGCCCTTTGGTTCCCAAAAGGTAAAATACATTTGTTCCCCATGTATTATTTGTTTGTAGGGCTTCAACACCACAGTCTAGACTGTGCTTTGGAAATTTCATTTCAATACCCTTTATTGTTCTTCTACCTGCACAAAATGAAGGTGGACTTTCACATCCTTTTTGTCATCATGAGGCATCCATTCCTTCTCTCCTGTGGATAAATGCTTGTACTAGAACACACATCTCTCAAGAACCACCAACAGTGCAGTCTATATCACTATTTAAAATAAAATTCTCCCTATGAGGAAGATAATATTTTATGACCTTATTACCCAAAACTCCTTAGTTCATTGGGACCTAGGATTTTGTCTTTTCCAAATAAAAGTCTTCAGTCAACTTTGAAAGTCCCCAAAACCATGGTAGTGGTATTTCCAGAAACAAAGAAATATTTGTTCTAATGATGAATCCATGTCCCAACCTCCTGCAACATAAAGAATCTCCTTAATTTTGGAATTAGTTTCCACAAAGTTTCAAAGCTCTCTTTAGCAACTCACTTGGACTTTCCCTTCCCCAATTTGTCTTTGCAAATAAAAATTTTTCCAGCCATGTGGCTTAGAATGGGGACAGCAGATGATCTACAGAGGACCCAAGGTTATGGCCTTTTCACTGTTGAGGTACATCATGTGGAAAGCTATGTTACAGGTTCTTGACTTCAGAAATAAGATTCTTGTAACTATGGTCTTCTACCCCCATATTACATTACGTTGAAGGGAATCACAGAAATGATAAACAAGAAATCAAAGATAAGACCACATTCTAGCCAATTATGGATATTGATTTGTCCCTCAGATCATCTATTTATAAGATTGTCTCTGTAGCTTGATATACCAGGGTTTAATTATGAATTTCTAACAGATGAACATAAATATGTCTATATAAATAGGTCCTAGACTGGAGACAACAGATGTTTTGACAGTATTCATTGAATACATGTATAATTGCTTATCAAATACATGAAACTAATTTAGAAACTTATCAGTTGAGTTTTCTTGATTCCAGTAAGGAAGAAATTATTATTGACTTTCTCTGATGCAAGGAAATTGAACTAGGCAATCATCACCCTTCCTTTTAGTTGAAAAATCTGTGATTTTGTGATTTATTTTCCCTACCAGTAAAAATTAATAACAGATGTCCTCAGGAGTTTTAAATGAAGTCAGAGATGGAACAAAGACAATAGTCATTATTATACCCAGTACTGCCGACTTCCATACCATGATGTGAAAGCAGACATTTGTTTCCACGTGAATTATTTGGGTGACGCAGTTAGTTTGAAAGGGAAAAAGGAACGGGAATAGATGATCTGATGGTGGGAGGATTTAGAGGCATGTCTCTTTCTTATTTGTATAAGTTTTACTCATCAATTTCTTTAAGATAGTTACATAGGAACTTTACTAATATTTAATTATTGACATTTACTGCTTAAACTCTACTTACAGGCAAAGAGCCCTAAACATTCAATCAGAAGGACAGTTTTGATTTCTGGCTCCTTTTTATTAGCTGTGTAACTTTTTCAATTAAATTAAGCACTCTGAGTTTCTATTTCATCATCTTTAAAATATACATTATTTGTCTCTGATGTACCTTACTCTTCAGTTATTCATTCAGCAAGTATTTATTGGAAGCCTTTATATTCTAAACACCATGGAAGATTCAAAGATCAATAAGATCCCAAAAGAACTTTGTGTATATGCATATCAACATTCCAGATTATCACCTCTTTGTCCCTAATGGGCACTTTCTTTCCCATGCCTGGTTTTGCTCAGTGGTCACCAAATTAGGTGCACAAGGCAGTCCTTTGGGTGCAGGAAGAAAATACTAGAACTTCTATTCTGATTTGCTTTTTGTCCTTTTCCCAGGGTAACTTTTTATTTTGATAGTTTTAAACTTAGAGAAAAGTTGGGAAAAATGTATAAAGAACTCCCATATCCTTTCCTGGATTCACTAATTATTAAAAAATTCCTCAATTGTGCTTTATTCTGCCTTCGCCAACACTACACACTATTGGGGTTCTCTCTTTCAGAGAGATGGCATATCTATCTATCTATCTGTATATGTATATATATATATATATATATATGTATATGTAATTTTTACAATTTGTTGTGCTTCTAAAAAGATCCCGTTTTTTTGACTGTCAAAGGACTTCTTGAACTTTTCTTGTAGATGTTTAGTATTTTGGATGTGTCTAGTAGATGTGCTAGAAGAAAATAAAGGGATCTAAAACTTGTGAAGCTGGAAAAATAAAAGTCATTGGAGGCAAGTAGAGATGGGTAAAATTTAGAGGAGCGGAAGGAAACATTTTGCTTCCATTAATCTATTACTGTATAGTTGAATTTGTCTGCGTTACATTTTGTGCTTCTTCCTTGCCCTGCCCCCTTGAATCTTCAGAAAGGAGCTCCTTGCCAAGCTGGATCAGGCAGAAAAGGAGAAGTTGGACGCTGCTCAGCTGGCTCGGGAATTCGAGGCACTGACGGAGGAGAACCGGACGTTGAAGTTGGCCCAGTCACAATGTGTAGAGCAACTGGAAAAGCTTAGAATACAGTATCAGAAGAGACAGGGCTCCTCTTAACTTTAAGTTATTCAATGTAAGCATGAGAGGTTTGTGACTGCCATGCAGTGGCCAAAAGATTTTTATTTTAAAGGGATAGTGAATAAAGCTATTTCTTCTCTTTATTACCTGCATGGCAAACATCTATAATGAGTTTAATGCTGGCCAGATCTAGTTTGAGAGAAGGGATGTTTTATTTTAAATAAGAGAATTAAAGCGAACCTATTACCAGTATATGTTTTCAGAGATCATAATTCTTTTCCAAAGATATTTTTTTTTCTTATTTAGGAAGCTATGATCCTATGGTACATCTGGGTAGAAAATGATAAAAATAGAATATCGACTGACTCCACTAAGAAGCATGAGCCGAACAGAATGAAGCCATGAAACAAACCAGTGAGATGCTCACTGCTGTTCCACCTCTGTGTATTTTTAAATTTCACATCTTTGATGTTTCAACTGTGCTCAAATCTGAACCGTCAAAAACTTCCTTGCATTTATTTACATTCGCCAGAGTTAGATTTAATCCCGCGATGATTGATTGTACTAAGAATAAATGGTTATATATCATAAAGCTTTCTCATGAAAATATTAGTAGAGAGCATGTTTGTGCCAAAAGCACATTTGCCAGTGCTAACTTGCTGTTGTAATAAAAAGCTGATGAGGCTGCATTTTCTTCACGCCACGTTACCTCCCAGTAAACATCTCCGCCTTTGCTTGTGTGCGTTCTGTGGCACGGGAGACATGGAAAAGTATTGTTCAGATAGTACTTGGGTGAGTTCCCATGAAAACATCAGTAAAATCACAACCATTACTTTGTTTTGGATTTAAAGATCTGTTGTGGATCAGTAATAACTCAAAGGAATATATGAGTAAATTCAAGATTAAAATGATTTTTCCCTAGTTCTATTTACCGCCATATTTTCCCAAACTGATCCCTTTGTTTTATGTCCATTTCTATTCATGTAACTTCTGTTTCATTAAACATGGATCAAAACTATCAGTCTGTAGTTTGTCGCTTTCTTAACCTCCCTTATACTAGAAGTTGGGGTTGGCTAACCCTAGCCAGAATTTGCTCTTAGTTGTATTTGTATGTGCCAAAAAAAGCAGCAAAAAGTCCCTTTTCTTGGAAAGACTTCGGTTTCTCATACAAACCGCTCAGAGCTCTAATACAGAATACGATGCATTAGTGTCTTGAGGAAACGTAAAAGAGAATAGTTGATTAAAACAATAAGATGGCCTGGGCTGGACCAGCTGTTATCAACTGAGGGTGATCTTATACCCAGGGGATGTTCGGCAAAGCCTAGAGACTTTTTTTGTGGTTGTGATGACTAGGATGAGGGGATGCTACTGGCTTCTAGACAATAGAGGCCAGTGATGCTGCTAAACATTCTGCAATGCACAGGACAGCACCTCAACAACCAAGAATTGTCTGGCCCAACATGCCAATGGTGCCAAGTATGGGCTAGGCTAATCACTGGGAAGTTGGGCAAATGCCGAGGGGAAGCGTGTTGCGAGGCCACGGGGTTTCTTGCCTTCTGATGCCAAGTCCATGAGGTCCTTAAGCTTCCTGATCCTCAGTTTCCTTATTTGTAAAATGAAGCTTTTCGATACATCTCAAAGTTTTAATGTTATACGAGCCCATTCACCCTGAAGCTGCTTTAACATTTGACCAAAGCGAAAGTCCCTATTATCCTGGCAGAACCTTCTTTCTTTTCTTTGCCGAGGAAGATTTTCCCCAAGCTAACATCTGTGTCAATCTGCCTCTATGTTGTATGTGGGTCGCTGCCACAGCATGGCCACTGACAAGTGGTGTAGGTCTGTGCCCGGCAACCAAACCTGGGCTGTCGAAGCAGAGCGTGCCAAAGGTAACCACTAGGCCATGGGCTGGCCTTACTGGCAGAATCTTCTTTTTTAGTAATCTCAAGGCCTATAAATACTAATATAAAGGAGGGATTGTTCACTAAATTTATATAAATCCAGGGTTAATGGAATGCGAGGAAGAAGTGTTAGTTACCAACCTTTAAATATAAGGATTAGTTTTTGGTCACTGCCCATCTGAAGAGGGTTACACACATTTACACAATTCAAGCAGTCGTGGCCCCTTATAGAAAATGAGAGGCAGGGAAATATAGTTCCAACATCTCTTTGCTCTACCAGAATGAAAATAATTTAACACGGTTAAAATGTTTGCACACCACTGGTATTATATTAAGGACATACTGAGTAAATAGTTTTCATATCTGCACTATAGTCTCAGCCTGAAATTTTACTATGTGTTTCCAAAAGATATCTATTTGTGACTCAAAAGCAAGCACTTCCCTAGGTGTGTGTGTTTTAAGCAGACTTTTATTCATTAAAAATATGAAAACATCATCTACTTTCGTAGCATTGTCAGATAAATTTAATGGCAAAATTTCTTATATTATTGGTCTCATCTTTTCATTCATTTGATGAATTTCCCCCAATCTTATTTACCACTGCATATTATCTATATAACACAGTATCATTTAGGAATTTTCTATCTTCAAATATATTTACAATATTCTTGCTATTAGCAATAAAGAAAATGTTATAGAGGATTAAAATTGAGTACAGAGGTCCTAATATTATTAAGGTGAAGGGGCTTGCTTTAGAGAATTAAAGGAAAATGTAACCCACATTATGTTCTGCAATTGCTCTACTAAAGAATTTGCTATTTGTGAGCCATTTAGTTTATGCAGCCAGGAAAAGAATGTGGTTACACGTGGCTAGAAGTCAAATCTCTCATCACTGGTATAGGCAAACCATGTTTCCCTATCTCATTCTGGTACCTGGGCTTGGATGTATCATTAACTCAGTACAAACAAGGAACTAAGACGGATATGAAATTCAAATTTAACTCAGCAAAAGTTTATTATACATTTACCAAGTGCAAGGCAAAGTAACAACAATAGAGGATGCAAAAATGAATGACACAATCCTAGCCTCCAATGTAGTAGCAGAAATAGCAAACATATTCTAGTTCCTGGAAGATAAGGACAAAGATAAGTGCAATAAGATAAACAAAGTTTATAATAGGCGTTCAAAGAAGGAAAGAATGGCATGAGCAGAGAGACAGTGGCTGGGAAGCGCAGAGTGAGGGCCACACATTTGAGAGCAGTGGATAGTCTTCCTGTAGAGTATATGCAGGGAGAAGGAGAAATTAAGTTGGGAAGTTCCACCGGGTCCTGGTTGTGGGGGGAGCTTGGACAAAATAAACATTTTGAAAAGAGGAGTGAACGATCAGGACTGGACTTGAAGACCATTAATATGGTTGCAGTGCGTGGGATGGTTCACACTGGATAAAGACTAGAGGCAGAGGAGTTGTTAGGAGGCTAATAGAAATAGAGTGTGCAAGAAGAGAAAATGGTAGCAATTCAAACGGAGTAACAGAGTAGGAGGGATGGGAGGGACCTAATGGGCAGTAGAATCCACGTGGCTTGGGATGGATCACGGATCACGTGTGTAACTGTAGCAAAGAAGGTGAAGAGAAGTAACATTTAATGAGCCCCTTCTGTGCCAGACTATGCTAGGCGCTTTATAGAGGCTGTATTATTTAATTCTTTTTTTAATTAATTAATTAATTTTTAAATGAGATGTAATTGACATATAATATTGTATTAGCTTTAGGTGTACAATCCAAAAGGTAGCTATAACTATCCCTGTTCTCCAAACCAGAAACCAAGCTTACATAATTTGTACCTTACAAATTATGCAGAGCTGGAAGTTCTCCAGAGCTGGAATTCAAATACAGTGTTTCTTTCTTTCTTTCTGCCCTTCCTCCCTTCCTTCCTTCCTTCCTCCCTCTCTGCCTCCCTCCTTCTCTCTCTCTCTTTCTTTCCTTTCATTTATTGAATACTTGTACTTTAACCAGGCATTCTGGAAGGTGCCAGGAACACAATGGTGAGCAATGGAAACATGGGTCCTGTTTTCAAGGAACCCTTAGTCTAGTAAGGGAGGTAGACATTTACCTAAACACGCACCCCAGGGAGTCCTAAAATACTATATCTAAAAATCCCCTCAAAGCCTAATTCCCCCCACTCCCTTTAGTGTGGGTTGGACTTAAAGACTTGTTTCTAACGGAACAAAGCAGAAGTGGCAGTATGTGACTTCTCCGGCTAGGTCATAAGAGACACAGGAGCTTCCCTCTCATCTGCTCTCTCTTGGATCACTTGCTCTGCAGTAAGGCAGCTGCCATGTACTCACGCAGGCCTACAGAGAGGCCCGCGTGGTAAGGAACTGAGGCTCCACGAGTGAACTTGGAAGCAGATCCTCCAGCCTGAGGCAAGAATTTAAATGGCTGCAGCCTGGCTGACGTCTTGAGTGCAACCTCATGAGAACCTCTGAGCTAGAACCACCCAACAAGCTGCTCCTGGTTCCTGATTCTCAGGAGCTTTGAGATAATAAGTGTTTGTTGTTTTACGCCACTAAATTTTGGGGAGCTTTGTTATGCAGCAATAGATAAAAAATACACCAAATAAATGAAGTAAGTGCCAAACAGAAAGAAAACGAAGATTATGAATGCACATAAGAAAGAGAATCTAACTGAGATGAGGAGTCTGGGATGGTTTCATTAAGGTGGTGACTACTGAGCTAAGATCTGATGAATAAGAGCTAAGGAGGCAAAAAAGACAGGTGGAGGAAGGCATCTAGATGGAGTGAACACATGTGCAAAGGCCCTGGGGCACGTTCAAAGACTTGAAGGAAGGCCAGTACGGCTGAGCATAAAGAGGTTGGGAGGGTATGGTACAAGATGAGGTTGTAGAATAAGGCAGGGACTTGAAGATCATGTTAAGAATTTTGGCCTTAATCCTAAAAGCAATGGGAAGCCATTGAAGAATTTTAAGCACAAGGGTAACATGTTAACACATTATCTTCTAGGGTAACATGTTTGAAGAGTTTTCTTTTTTAGGTTACCTCATTTTAAGTTGCTTAGGGTGCTATGTAGGGTTATTTATACTATACATATTTAGACAGCTGGCTAGCTTACTTATATAGGGCTATTATACACATTTTGTTTGAGAAGTCATTTTAATGAATATTATTCTCTCTAGAGAATGAGTAACCCCTATCATGTGGCTTGGCAGAATAAAAGACAGAGTCTACTTTCACTGTCGCCAGTAATATATTTAATCGAGTGACACTAATAATCCTACATTTTAATGAAGATTTCTATGATCCACCTGTTTTTTTGTTTTGTTTTGTTTTGTTTTTGGTGAGGAAGATTGGCCCTGAGCTAACATCCATTGCCAATCTTCCTCTTTTTGCTGAGGATGATTGGACCTGAGCTAACAGCTGTGCCTATCTTTCCTCTAATTTGTATGTGGGACACCACCACAGCATGGCTTGATGAGTGGTGTGTAGGTCCACGCCCGGGATCCAGGCCTGTGAACCCTGGGCTGCCAAAGTGGAGCACACAAGCTTAACCACTATGCCACTGGGCTAGCCCCTGATCCACCTGTTTTTTAATGTTTATCTCATGTTTCAAAGTTTGAAAGCCAAACCCAGAGCTGGTAAGAGAATATTCTTATGCGATTAGAACTTTTAAGACAATATTTTTCACCCGTCTTTGTTATTTTTAAGGAATGATAATAATCAGAGATGGGAGTGCAGATCATGTGGCACATGAGCATAGAAAGCGAAATGCACA